AACTCACTTGAGCAGGAATGAATTTCAGTTTTGCCAAACAGTAAGTGGTCTGATCGAATACTTGGAAATCTAGTCAGACCTGTTATACTGCCTATGATAGTTGTCTGTGGTATTTAAAATGACTGCTCATAACCTTTATAAATTAAACCCTGAYGGTACTCTTTACCAGGAAACAATCTACAACAATCTTGTTTTAGGTATTTTATTTGTAAATAAATCTCCTTTTACTGCTTTGACATRTCTTCATTCTTACACTGGCTTTCATATTTCTGAATCACTGCGATGTTACTTATGCATTTTCTTGTCAGATTTTACACACAAAATTGAATTTTACATTAAAAGAAAGTTGTTTGTTGTGGTTGACTCAGGACAGTTTTTTAATGAGTTCTCTTCTTTGAGAGTATCGATGCTACCAATATTGATTCAGCTTACTGGAGTACTGTACAACTTGATCACTAACCTTTGTCTTGTAAATAGATTATCATAAATTAGGATAAAATTATAAACTATAAGCAAAAAGTAAAATTGTTCCAATCTACAAGATATTTATAAAACCAAACCAAATTATATACAATTTATTTTATGATATAAAATCAAATCATTGAATTTYTATCCAAACGTTTCTTGTGAGGCATATACCATGTACAGGAAACCATCTTCATCRTGCTCCTCTCTGTAGACTTCACCAACAGTTGTTGAGATACTGACCATGTTCTTTTCATTAACAAGAAGGAAGAATGCTTGTGTAGGTCCCAACTGAAGTCGCTTTCTGGAAGATATGAATAATTGGGATTTTTTGAGTATTAAAATACTCAGTTTGTGTGCATAATGCAGAATCATGTAGTTTATTGCCCATGGCTAGCAAACAAGTGCTCTCATATTAATTAATATACTAACTACATACACTGCAACTTTAACTAATTTAAATTTWTAAAATAATAAATAATAAAATACAATGTAAATTCATTTAAGGATACTGTCAATATACATTTATATGTTGTATACATTTATATATTTGGATATTCTATTATACATATACTAATTATGTGGGTGCCCTMTGTAACAGGTATTTACATAGATGTCATCAAAATAAAGATGTAAAACATTTGCACATAACATGGTATAAATTTGAATGGAATATGTAAAGTATGATAACTTGGCAGTTATTTTAGAAAAAAGGACACAAATTGAAAAAACTGGATTATATGTAATGTGTCCACGAATGTATGTACTAAAATGATGAATAATTTGCATGATTCAGAGGAACTAGACATTGACCACGAAGTATAGCCACGGGCACTGCTRGAAACTTGACGACAATCAACTCATGTTTCAGCTAACCTGATGATGCTAGCAAGACTACTCATTGTTAGATCACTCGGTACAAGATACTTTATTTTATCCAATAACGGTAAATTCTTCTCTGTCTTTAGCCGCTCRACAATAACCTGAGAAATAAGAAGAAAAAGAACGATAAATGACTCAAAAACGACATCTGTGTAATGACGTTGAACATGCATATAGCAATGACTATGGCTTACCGGAATTTTTTCTGGATATTGYTTGCTGATCGTCTCTGAATCGCGTTTTCTTGAGGCTAAGAGTAGGGTATAATACGCTTGATAAGAATTTAATAACTTTTATGTTGACAAAATCCAACCAACGCAAAAACATTCGTTTCGTTATGTGATGTATTAGCATCAGATGTYGTTTTCAACGAGCCATCAAAAATCGAGCGATTACACCAAAATTGCACGTTMAATCCACAATAAGACGATACTTACAAAAGCTTTTCCTCTCCTTGAACGGTCTTTGCGTCTGTGTATTCATATCGAGTCGTTTTTACTGCAGAAAATCGACAGAAATTCGGAAAAATTCGCACGATGTCTGCGCTTTGTTGACAAACACGACACTATTTTTAGTTCTTGTCACACACGTGATTCAATTCAGCCAATYACAAGCATTCGATCTTTTCCCTGATTTCTTGCGTCATTTGCTGAATTCTTCTCTCTCTTTCGTTCATCTCATTTCACGATTTTCTTTTTWGTCGTTCACTATAAATTCATTTTTTCAATTTCTGCTTTACTTATCATGACTGTTTTCATATTATCCTTTGTCTTCCTTCCAGCATAATATGTAGTTTTCATCTTTTAATTTCTTTTCTCCGATTTTTTTTTTCATTTCTGTTAATAAAATAAGTTTTTAGGCTACGATAACATCTGTGAATTCTATATTTTTTTCGAATAATCAGCCAAGCAAAAAGAAAATGGTTTGTTGTATTATAAAAAAAATCTATATCAATTGAATATTCATATGAAATATGAAATATTCATTATAAAAAAAATAAAACATATAAAAAATGATAGGGACAAGATTTTTTTAAAACTTACTGCTTACTGAATGACTGAATATCCTAAAGTGACTAARAAATGTTTGGGCTTCCTGTGGCATTTCTCGTACCAGTCTATCTCTCTGGGGTCCTGCCCACAACACAGTGAGTTATAASATGGACTATGGCCAGATGTTGAAGATTTTGCCAAAAAGCTAGCATTGTAAACATTGARTAGGGCTTCTGCCCTCACTAGAGGGAACCAACATGACCGACAAGTAAGTTCCAACTTTTAAAATCAATTTTTACAGGCATAGACAACGCGAAAATTGAAGATTCTCTTTGCCGGTTGGTTGCCAAGTCCAGTTGATCGTGTGGGCTTACCTTTTGGGTCATTTTGATAATAGYCGTGAATTACAAAACCAACATTTTGACTCATTTGGATCCTTTAAATCACTACAAGTATTCATCAGAGTTAGCGCTGGAATGATAACAAAGTGATCAGTTGTTCTTGGCTGGTATTTTGATTGTTCATCGAACAACAGTGAACACATTTATGGACAACWACCAACTGCGTGGAATATTTGATCATTCCAGAATCTCTGATAAAAAWTWGTTATTTTTGAAATAAAGCGTTTTTATCGAGGATTTCTAGAGCGATCTATTTCGCTTTACTTTGGTTCAAGTGTTAAGATAGCGACTGTTGATGTAAGCTTACATGTACAACATACTCAATATTAACCCATTATCGTTTTTGTTGGTTGACTTCACATACCAACAAAACAAGTTTATTTATTGTAATTTACAGCTTGTCCAATGAACTACAGTTGTCGTGTTCCACAAAGAATAACTCCCCGAGAAAATATCTAATTTGATTGTTTATTTAGCTTTGTATGTGGTGAGAGACGATCAAATCGTGAATGTTTTTGCTAATTTCGTAGTTTACCGTATAAAAGTACTTCTACCTCGCAAGTTCACTCTACCGTAGAGTTATTTAAAACTTTTATCTCTTGGTATTATCGCTTAAATATCATCTCACGTAATCGTAAATATGTCTGCTCTTTTTTCTTTGTCTCAAAGTCGATTTTGTGCGAGGATGAATGCGTCATTATGTTTTTACAAATCTTTGTTGTTGGTGGGACACGATTTCCGATTACTCTCCGTTGAAGCATTGTGTGAACAATATCTCGATTTAGTGTTAATTTATTCCTGGGGATGTCATCTTTTTAATGCTTTTTATTTGATTTTTTTTTCAACGAATGGAATCAAGGCGCGCACGTGTGGTTTGCCGAGGTTTGTGCGTATTACATTTCATCGTTCTATTTCTTTACCAATCTTACATGAACTTGATCTTATAATTTGCAATTATCAGATGAATAGTATCAAATAAAATTTATATTGCAAGTTTATACTAAAGATCATTTCGGAAGTGTTGAAATACATTTTTTATTACTCCGATAATGCGCCCCGCGATGTGCCATAACAGGGGACACTTTTAACCCCAGCAGTGTTTTTGTTCTAATACCCTGGGAAACTTCGTTTATTACATTGCTATCATAAAGTAATATACACGATTTTAAAACAGTCTAGCCCTCATAATTGCAATATTGAACGAGTCATGAAGACCTACTAAATTATAAATATTGCTGGTTTCGGTTTCGTTTCAYCTCCACGCTATAAGAATGTGTTGAGCTCATTAGAATCACAATTCAACCTGATGTTATTCAAATTGTTTGGGTTCAAAAGCGAATCAAAGTTTTCAATGCTTCATCTTCGTGTTCAGTATAGATACCATCGACATTGTAAATTTCAGTTTCAGCGTCTATATTAAAAACTATGGTAGGGATCTTGTTGTAAGTTGTATTCAACACCTGAGTTTGGTTGCTTTGAAAACAGTGCGATTTAAAAGAAGATCGATTTAATCTCTTTCACAATGGATCAAGATTAATAATGAGTACATGTATTTCAGTTTGTAAAGATGTTAAACTATTAACATTGAGTAGCATCAAAGACCTTTTAACACTACAACAATTTATTCTGGAGTGTTAAATGGAAACTGTTTCAACAAGATCTGATATTTCAATGTTTTGGAAAGCTTGGTACTTGAATTCCAATCTGCTGCATAACGTTTTTTTTTTGTTCAGCATCAATTAATATATTGTAGTGCTTGTCAAAATTGGTGTTTAAATCCTTTTAGTGGTGCTCCTTCTTACTGGGGGCGCTGTCAACTCTTAATAACTTATGGGATAGATAAATGATAAAGAAATAGATAAAGAAATTGGAGTGTTGTAACAGTTTAGTTCTTGTAGCACGAATGCTGAATTACAAGCAGGCGCAGCTCAACACGGTTGAGTCAGAGGTATACRAAGGTGTTTGAATCACAAACAAGACAATTTTTTAGCTTATTACTTTAGCTAAATAGTTTCTTGTAAACTTTCATCTTATCCCACTCCTATCCAGGCCACCTGTTTAGGRTAAACAATGATTTTTGGTTTTAAGTAATAATGGTCTGAGTGATCTTGTACTTTATCCAGGCAGGAGCAGGCAGAAAGTCAAGAGCAGCAGGACAGAAAAGATCAACCCAAGAAACAGGAGAGGTCAGARCGTAATGAATGGGTTGAAATTGTTGAGCCTCGTTCAAGGGAGCCAATGTACGCCAATCTCAAGACTGGACAATGCCTGTGGGAACCCCCCGAGGGGGTAAAAGTGTGAGTACAGTATAAAAKTTTGATTCTGCCTTTTTATGAATAAATTACATKTAAATCTTTTTAATAAAAGGTGCAAACAGTTGTTTTCAAAATGAGTAAAATGTCAGGATTTCTTGGTTTTGATTGGTTTCCAAGGATACTATGGTTAACCATAGTAACCATGGTTAACCAAGCCTTGTCAACGTTTACCACAAACCTTTTTACTCTTTCACAATTGCTTTATCCATTAAAAATGTAGAAGATTTGGGTTAATTCTTGAATTGGTTCACAGCTACTGTTTTGGATTATCATTTTCTCAAATACTCCCAAAGATAATCTCTGTTGTTGTGTCAAAAATGCATTGCATTTGTTTAGATTGTAGCTTCAAGAGGTAGTGTATTTTGAGTTTTACAGTTTCATGATGTTAGTCACTTTTTTGTTGTGACAGTTTATCTTGATATGAATCTATATTTATAGTATTATAAGGTTGTGCCATTTTCATAAGAGCAATTGATAGCTAAGTAAAGAAAAGCATAGAAATAACTGGAAAGKAACCCATTGCTTGAAGTTTATGTGTTTATGAACATCAGACTCTGACTAAAGATGTTTGATAACTGATTGATGGTTGAATATCTATTGCACAATTTATTAAGTGATTTTTTTTCCACAAGTGCTTATCTGTTTAATATGTTTTAGAAGTCACGTAAAGGTGTACATTCATTTTTGCAAGTCTTGTTAATGTATTTATGTGTCCCTGTTGTTTTACTTTGCAGTAAACGTGCTGATGACAGTCATTGGTGGGAGCTGTATGACCATAAGACAAAACGCTATTACTATTACAGTGCTGCCTCCCAAACTACTGTATGGCGCAAACCTAAAGACTGCGACATCATCCCATTAGCCAAGCTGCAGGTGACTGAAATGGTGCCATTATTATTGTTGTTGTTGGTACTGTTGTTGTTGGTACTGTTGTTATTGTTGTTGTTGTTGTTGTTGCTGTTGTTGTTGTTGTTGCTGCTGCTGTTGTTGTTGTAGTTGTTGCTACTATTGTTGTTGTTGTTGTTGTTGTTGTTGTTGTTACTGTTGTTGTTGTTGTTGTTGTTGATGTAGTTGTTGCTACTGTGTTGTTGTTATTGTTGTTGTTGCTGTTGTTGTTGTTGTTGCTGCTGTTGTTGTTGCTACTGTTGTTGTTGTTGCTGCTGTTGTTATTGATGCTGCTGTTGTTGATGCTGCAGTTGTTATTGTTGTAGGCGTAGGTGAAGATGAGTCATATAGTGACAGATCCAAATTGAACAATATAGTATCAATTACATTTACATATCTTAACATTCAAACCATGTTTAGAGTATGAAAGCAAAGGAAAAACGAAGACTTGCTAAACTGAAGGAATACAAGAAAGAAAGCTATGAGAGGAAGAAAAGAGAAGGTAGTTTACGTCAAAATGCACTCGATCGTGAGGACAGGACAAGGACCAGCAGCTCAAGGCGAGATAGGGAAGGGTCGAGTAGTAGAAGACGTTCATCAAGAAGACATGAAGTTTCAGGGGATAAAGAAAATGATGGCACTTCAAAGGTACAACTATTTTGCTGTGAATATGTTTGTAATCAAAAAATCAGTGAAGTAATCTGTAGTGACTGATTGCTACCAACACTGATCTACATATAATCTGCCTCAAAAAATACTAAAAAGTGACTGATTGCTACCAACACTGATCTACATATAATCTGCCTCAAAAAATACTAAAAAACTAGATCTCTAGTGTAGATCAAAGGCCTGTCTATTCTATAAAGCTTGAATGATGCTTCTACAAACAAGTTGATCTTTATTGAAAAAGGATCAATCCCAGGAGGTCTTTGCGCGCTTTTTCCTGCCTCAAAAAATACTAAAAACTAGATCTCTAGTGTAGATCAAAAGGCCTGTCTATTCTATAAAGCTTGAATGATGCTTCTACAAACAAGTTGATCTTTATTGAAAAATGATCAATCCCAGGAGGTCTTTGCGTGCTTTTTCAGATCACGTGGTGCATGCTAGGTAACCTGTTCAGCCTTTGGATGTTACACTGAATGTAATCGGTGTTGTTTGAGTAAAACCAGTGTACAAATACTTTTTAGAATGGAAAAAAGGTCTTATGCGGAAAAAATCTTTGGCGGACAATTTGTCTAATTGCATTGTCAGTGTATTTGATTGGTATTCTATTATTCCATTTTCTGATGACGGAGAACAACGCCACAAAAACACCTTACMAACGGTRCACACACAAGATCCTTTTCTGWCATATTAAAGATTCCGCTAAAATAGAATTTCTGTACATGTTTCACCTTAATTTGCGACCTGTTTTCGATAATTAGACAATATAATGATCCTGTTGCAGTTATTTTTCGTCTTTTCTTTGTTTTGGACMAGGCGTGTTATGTCATTTTACACCTCTTATGTTGCTAAWGACATGGGCGTAGCGTTTTGTTATTGCCATTTACAGATGTTYTTGACTTCAACAATACTTCCTGGGTCGCTTAATAAATCACCCAAAAMTCTTAGTTTTTCATTGAAATGCCAAATATCATGATTTAAAAGGGAAATGTTGAAGTGGCTGGGAAATAACTTGCGTTTTTCAATATATTTGGATCTTGTAAGCAGATGTAATGTTTGATTTTCCTCTTGATAGTAACTAAGATGTAGTCTTTACGTTTTTCAAGCTTATTTTCAAGACTTTCAAGAAATGCGACGAGAGAACAACGCAGCGAAATTCAGTTTAAATTCGCGCGCAGTTTTATTGTTTTATCTATTTCCTGATAAAGAAAWAGTTTATGTATTTAGACTAATTCTACAAAATTAATGTTAATTTGTGATTATTGATGRAAGTTGGACAGATTTTATTGAAATGGTGAAAGAATTTAATGCGATGAAATGTTTTGATTGGTTAAGATCATAGTAACTCGTAAAAAACAAAAATTCAATGATTGTTGGTATGAAAACAAAGCAACAAGCGTGTATAGAAAGCCCGGTGCTGCTTTAAAATCAATAAATTATTGATTACTTTGTGGTTGAATGGCAAAACTGAAGAAGGTTTGACACCAGCAACAGTAAAAAATCCTTCAAGCCGAGTTGGTATTCAGTAAGTACAACCTAGATACGTTTTATGCTCGAGTTATTCCATTTTTATCGCGTTTCTCAAGCTTCTCGATTGAATTCCGCTAATTGTTTGCACTTTAGTAGCTTTTTGCTTGGAATTTAGCTATAATTTATTTCAAATTATCGAAAGTTACGGTGAAATRCGATTATCGTAATAAAAAAACTTTCTTATTTGGAAGATTGTTCCGTGATWWTGTTTGAAATTGTTGAAACCTTTGACCAAACAGTGAATCAGCGATTGAAACTAGTGAACATTGGCTTCRGATAGCAATGAAATGGTTTGATTCAAAGTATATGGAATAGATGGAATATAATAGCTTGTAAACAAGTTATCTAAACCTTGATATCGAAAATTTATTTGTATTTTTTATGTACTAATGTGTACAAAGGTAAATACGTTTTTGTTCTTTTTTGTATCCTTTTTCTCGAGCACTTTTCAGTAAAATGGTGAAATGCTATGATTAGACGAAAGTAAGAAAGCTAATTCACGCTATTGTAAGTGAGGATATTTTGACAAGTACATGTTGATTGTTATTGGAAAAATGCCTTGATTTGTATTTAAAGTGTATCCTCGTTGATTGAGTTCACTTTTTTGTAAACTTCCTCRAAACTACGTTCGAAAACTCGATATGCTTTGGTTTATTATGCCCCCTGCGCCGAAAAGAGCTCGAAAATGCTTGATCAGTCACGCGATTCGCTCCGCAAAGCCAAAACAGTAAACAAAAAAGAGTTTAAAAGTCTTTGGTCACTTTCACATATTTTTGCATTTGTTTTTTTCTCAACTTCTGTTGGGTTKAGACAWATACCACCATCACAAYAAGATACTRATACKGTCGTAGTTATTGCAGACTTGAGAGCTKTGTTCAAACGCCTTCGATAAAGTCACAATAACAAAGGAAATTRCACATCAAAAMCCACGGAATGCGTATTTACGAATTCGGATTTCTTCGACATGAACATTTGCCAGTCTTAACCAGTATTCCCTGTGTTGCATTTCAATGTTTTCTTTCAAAAGTAAAGTTTGATCTTCTCGAGTATTTCTTTTATGTGTTGATTGTAGTCTGAAATTCTAGATGAGCAGCTGYCTCCAGAACAAAGAGTTTTGTTGCTCCTTATAATATTCCCTGAAAGACCTGAAGTCTTTGCATGATATGATGAGTGATTAATTTATCTACGAAAAAAGTTTTCATTTTTCTCTTTCTTCACCGTTATTTTCATTCTCTTTCGTTTTTTCCATCAGTTTTGTGTCATTTCATTTTTCTTTCATTCTTTATGGTCATCCTTCCATCATGTTGATCTCTCTATGTCTCATTTTCTGCTGTGCTTTTCTCTTTTTCTTTCTTTTGTAACCAGTATTTTCATCCTTTTAGTCCAAAGCTATCAACCAAGACGATACTCTATCTAACGAGGTCCAAAGCGTRCTAGAAAAACGACATAGTGAGGACAGTATTCGAAGTCTACCATCGCCCCCAACATCCAGTCCCGACCCTAGGGACCACCCTGTGGAAGGGGCAGTTGGAGAAGGGGACCATATTGAAGAGGTTTCAGGGCGTGTGACACCGTCTGGGACTTTGTCAAGAAACGGTGAAGTCAAGTAAGTTTGATCGTGACTGTAATTAGAGAATTAGAGGTTGTTTGTGATGACAGTGGGGGAGGGGGGGGGGATTTAGTAACAATGATGATGACGCGTGGTACCTCTGTTAACCGGTCATCCTTGAAACTTATGACAGGCTGGTTTAATAGAGGCAACAATGTGAGAAGTGTTCTTCTTTTGTATTATGTTCGTAGATAACGGTGTATGAGATTCATTTAGTCATGATTGTGATGATGATGATGATGATGATGATGTTATTATTCTTTTGATCTCAGTAGCGGGACTCCATCTGGGACATTAGAGCGTGACAGTACCACCAGTCCATCAGGAAGCTTTCATCACAAGTCAATCTATGACAATGTYACGACACCAGTAAACCCACCATATGACATGGACCATGAACTGAACGGTGACAATCACTCAGACGAAGGTGGGAATTATCAGTTCCTCTTCCATCGTTTGTTGGACTTTCTCAATTGTTAGTCTTACTTCTTCTTCTTCTTTCTTTTCTTTTCTTCTTATTAAACTTTCTTTTTCATCTTACTCACATATTTGTTTAATCCCGTGACGTCGTAATCGCTTGACTGTGACCATGTTGGCATGTGCCACTTTGCACCTTTTCCACTCCATCAGTTTATCACGTGATTTATCAAGTGGTATCACGTGGTTAATACATCACGTGATTTTGTTCACGTGATGTGTTAACCACGTGATACCTTTTTTAAAGTGCTGAATGAAATCTTGAAAGCGAGCGAAACAGCAAAGCTAATCAATTAATATTTCGAAGAGAAGAGAGCACAGCTATTGCACGGTGCAATTACACGGATAAATTAGTAAGAGTGAGGTGCAAGCAATGTTCTTCAGCGGGAAAGAGTTATTTGGGAAAAGGATGAATAAATGGGACATTTGACAAGAAAAAAGTCACGGGAAAGGGAGCTGGGACGTCATGATTTAGAGAGGAATTACCAACACTTTAATGGCAATTATTTTCCAGGTAACCAATATTCTAGTGAAGAGTCCCTCAGCATACGACTACAGGCTGGTGGTATGCCAGCGAACACGGCGAACCTCGTAGAAGCATGCTCACCTCCTCCCTCGGAGAAAAGCCACCGCTCTTTACGTCACCAGCGACAACAGTCAGATAGCGCCGTAGCGAGAGTATTTCGCGAGGAGGAGGACATGAAGCGCGAGAAAGAACTTGCAATGAAAGGAAGTTCTTCGACTYTACCGAGACCAAGTAGACCGTCGTCAATAGCAACAACACAGGGATCCCATTCACATCATAACACGCTGGTAGGTAGTATGTCTGAAAGATCAATAATTATCTATGATTTTCATGGTTCGTTTGTCAGTTGGTGTTGATTTGGTGGTCGATTACTAGTATTGTTGCCTGTTTCTTTATTTAAGTGAGTATATTTCTGTTTATACCCATTCTTCTTAGGAGCGCTCTCATTCTGTACCGAGCTCTAAATCGTTATTCAGAGGCCTGGGTAATTATGAAAATTACTTAAATCAGCATACTAAGGGAATCTTTAGGAGAAAACGAGTCTCAATCGCCAGTATGATGTCATGGTCCAAGGTTAGTCATATCTACGTTTATACGTACTTGGCCCAGTCTCCCTCTTGATGTAAAAGCCCCTCCCATGATACTTTGTGAAGTAAGGTAAAGGACTGGTGGCGTGTTAGGCGTGGATTGATTGTGGATTTGAGTAATTGCTAGTTTAGAGCTCGACCAAGCAGCAGCCTTGCCACGTTGTTGAAACTATGTAATGTGTTCCATCTTGGTCTGCACCTTCTATCAATTCAACCATTTTTAACACTTTATATGTATTTCTCACACTTTTCCAGGTTCCTATAAAGAAACCGCTGATCCTAATGAATGACAGGCAACTAAAGCGAGAAGCAGTCGAAGTGTTCAAGCTGGTCTTGATGTACATGGGTGACCGCGCCTCGCGCGGTAGAGATCTGGATAACATAGCGTTAGATATTACGACACGAGGCTGGGAAACCGCGCCKCTTAGAGACGAGATCTATATACAGCTTTGCAAACAAACGACTGATAATGGCAGGCCGTATGTAGCAATCTTGGTTTATTATTGATAATGATGATTGACAGCGTTGATTGACARCTATCTTCTATAGTTATCTAACACTGCTCTTTCTATGACAGGGAGGGACTTCGGCTTGGTTGGGAGCTTGTCGCGGTATGTTTAGCGTTGTTCCCACCCTCGACAAAATTTCATTCTTACTTGGATGGTTATATATCTCGTAATTTAGAAAATAAAGACTTTGAAAATTTGGTAGGTGTTTCTTGTTCTCTGATGGGTTTCCTGTGTATTCAGTGGCGTGACATTGATTGTTCTTTCAGGATATTGTTAAACACTGTAAAAAGCAACTGGAGAAAATCGCTCGTGCTGGTCCAAAAAGAGGGCTTCGTAAACCAACACTAGACGACATTCGACAGTCTAGGGTAAGATTGCGTGACGTAATGTATATTGATCGCGTGATGCGTGACATGTCACACTTCTATACTGACATTTATATGTCTTTAGCACTATATATTCCACCCTTCCATGTTTGGCTCAACGCTTGATGAAATCATGGAGCAACAAGCAGAGAGATATCCAGACTTGAAGCTCCCATGGATTTTAACGACCCTCGCTGAACTTGTCCTCGCAAAAAATGGTTCACAGACAGAAGGAATATTTAGGTAATAGAAACTGATTAAAACGATGATCATCCACACTKTCCCCACTCCACCCCCTTGCAATTTTTTTTTCTCGCAGGGGAAGGGGCTGGGATCAAGTTGTTCAATGTAACGATTGCGCGTGCATTTACATGATTTCCCAGCCAATCCCACATGGCTTAGTGCCTAACTTATCTCACCATCGTCATCGGCGCCATGACTATTAACAATTAGATCTCGAGGGCGAGTGGACTACGCGCTTTTCGCTAGTCGAGGAATATTGAGAATAAACCCCAAGTAGCGTAGCCAATCAGAAGGAAGGATTTGCAATAGTTCACTAGTATGGTAATACTAATTGCTGATAGAGTGATACCTATATTAAGCGTCACGGCGGCCATGTTGGCGTACTGACTGATCATGACTTTCTAATGTTATCATTTTCTACAGAATACCTGGCGATATAGACGAAGTCAACGGCTTGAAGATTAAACTAGATCGATATGAGACGCCGGASTGGGTCTCAGACCCTCACGTCCCCGCCTCGTTACTGAAATTATGGTTTAGAGAGCTTGCTGAACCTTTATTACCTCATGAATTTTAATATCCTTTTAAACTTAYTAATGAAATCATGTGATGAAGTCGCCATGTTGATGACGTCATAAAAGATGGCTGCCGTTCTCTATGGATACCTTGGACCCTAGGTGTACTGTGTGGTTGGTTGTATTTGTTTGCTTGTTTGTCTCATTGTACCGAGTAGTTTGTTGGWTTGTTTRCTGTTTTTAGTTTTATTGTTTATTATGTTGTTTACTTTCGTGCTGCTTTGCTTCGTGTTAGAATTTTGTTCTTTGAATCCTTGCTTATTTATTCCAACTTTATTTATCTTTAATTCTTTTTCACTGAAAAATGTATAACGAATTGTGATGATTCCACGGTAGGAACAGCTATAATCCTGGCTTTACCGGAGATCAACCGATTAGTGTTTTCGTATCTTATTCGCTTCTTACAGGCAAGTTACCATAAAAAACCTCTCTTGAATATTACGAGCTTCTTGATTGAAATTTRCAAGTTTYCCATACATYATTTGGGTCGTAGCTAGTCCATGAAATGCGTCAACCTATCCTCAATTTGATGTATTGTAATAAAAAATGTTAGTTAATCACTAACTTGCTTTTTCAGATCTTCTCTTTACCTGAYGTGAGCTCAATAACCAAGATGGAAGTAAACAATCTCTCCATGGTATGGGCTCCGAACTGTCTCCGATTTCCTTCCGAAGACCCGATCCAAATGTTCGAGAACACAAGACGAGAAATGACATTTATTAGGACTTTATTATGGAATTTAGATACCAGTTATATGGAGGGGATCCGATAGACGTACATATAGTCTTATATATTATATGATAAGAAGAACTCAGAACGCATGGTCAAAAGAGATGGCAACGAGGATTCAGTAGTCTACAGCCCCCTCCCTACCTTTCCTCTATTCACTATAGAGTCATGGCGCTTTTTCTTTTCTCTAATAATAATTTATCAAAGGTTGCTTTCGTGYCATCTCTTTTGGGTATACGTTTTGTAATCTCAAGAAGACTCCGCTGTAATGATTAACCTCTGCAACACTCTACAGTACTGGTTAAAGCCATGTATGTGGTATGTGCCAGAGAAACATCTAGATACAAACTACGATTCAATGTGCCTKTGTTTTTAATCTTGTCAGAGCATTTCAGAAAGTGCGAAAAACTTTCCAGTCTGATGCGTTCTGTTGTTTTTAAGCCGGGTCGGGTGGTTGAAGGGATAGTATGTAATAAATGATATCATTCATCAGGCCCAAAATGCACAGACGACTTTTACCAACGAGTACTTGAAAAGTGACTAAAGTCCAGTATGAATGCGAGTTCGGGGATTACCTACAAGTCTGGGATTTCTTCTCTTTAGAATATTCTTTACCGAGTTCATCCCGAGTAAATCCCGATTTTTTCCCGAAGAAACGTGATGTTTTTCCATGGAGTTRGTAACTGAAGAAATGACAGTAACTGAGGTTAAACTCAAAATGTTGGTMGTGATTTTGCGGTGGTCGTTTTATTGGGTGTGRCTGTGTGAAATTGATTTATTTCAATGTAAAAATCAGTCTCATATATCAAAGTAAATGATTTATTATTGCATGTGTTATATCGTGTTATTGTGTATAACGTTTTCAAACAAGAAATAACTAACAGCACTGAATGTTTATCGAAGTAACGTGTACAATATTATCATCCAGGTGGATGTAGTTCTGAAAAGAACTATTTGATGTTTCTGACGTTTCGGCCACCTGTGCGGTAATCACTTTTCAAAGTCGAGCGAGGAAATAGCACTGAATCAAGAGATTCACGAGTTTGGTGTCTCCACTCTAAAGATTAAGATTGAAAATCTGAAATCGAATTCCAGTGAGGGAGGCATGGGTAGTATTTTTGAAGTACTTTGACAAAGATTTTGAAAGAGATTGTGAAGGGTCTCTCTATTCCTCGTCCTCATTTCGTTGGTGCACCTGTGCGTCACGCAACGCTAAGTCACGTCACAGGTAACAGCTGTAAAAGGCTAATATTCACATAAATTTTGTAAAGAACTTTTTTTTTCAATATGTAAAACAAAACGAATTTCTCCATTTCTTTGTGATAATTAATAATCTAAGACGTCATAGTATTTCCTGTTTGTCCCTACCCTACCACCCCACTGTCGTCATGGTATCCCTAGCTCGCAAGGGATCATGGCCCAACAAACAAAATAAACTATATATTGGGAATATCTTCGCGAAAGATGGGAAAGATTGATGTTTTTACTGTAGTGTTCGCCGGTAATAAGAGTGTTTACTACCCAGGAGAGGTTCTTAACGGTGCTGTAATACTCAAGCTTAACAAGGAACTCAAATTACGTGAACTTAAAATCGAATTTCATGGCGAAGCAAGGGTGAGATGGTCACAATCTAGCGGATCAGGCAACAATCGAAGAACACATACTTACCACAACAGTGAAGTCTATATTAACACTTGTGCAACTCTATTTGGAAAAGGTATAACCTACTGTATTAATAATAGAATATGTCGAATTGAATCGATTGTTTAGTACACTGTCATACAGCTATAACTGTAGTTCACACCAGCAAGAGGTAGCTTATCTCAAGTCCCGCCCGACAAAGCTCATACCTTAGTCAGATCAACTCTAAATCTGTCCACGAGAAGCTTGAAGAAAACGCTTATGATTCACAAATATCCACATAATTATAGTTCCATATTATGGCGATGGCGAATTCAAAGTCGTGTTGCRGCATATTGCTAAATTTGGATTTTGAGATTGCTCATTCTGAGAAATGTTTCGCTTGAAATCGTATATCTTTTATATATTTTTTGATAAAATTCGCATCCTGAAARTTATTAAGATTATTTAACACACATTTATACTTAACGGAAGATGTTTTTGACTATATAAATGCTTTTGCAAATTCTGATGTCAATATTGAAAATARAGTYTGACGTTTTGTATCAGATGACGTCACAATACGTCATGCTTGACTATTAACAAATTCTTTGATGWCTAGAAAWCTGCTTTGAAGGCTCCTYCCTCTTTGAGGAAGGAGTTGCAGAGAAATTCAAAGGGTTTTTGAATTGATAGAAAACAAASCTCCAAAYTGTGGTYAGTGTTCAGGGGCTTTTCCAAGATATTTGATAWGATATAWTATTTTTTATTTCAGCTCCAGGAGCTAAAGACAGCCCYGTCCTTCAACCWGGAGAGTATAACTACCCATTTCAATTTCATATCCCACCAAACAACCTACCKTCATCATTTGAAGGGCAGCATGGTCATATTAGGTACTGGCTTAAAGCTGTGATTGACAGGCCGTGGAGATTTGAYGTAACAACTAAGGTTGCATTCTCTATGATTGAAATTGTTGATATAAATCTAAACAACTTGGTTGTAAGTATTACAAGATATAAACTAATGTATATTGTCACTTGAGCTTTATATGTGACTGACTAATCCAGATAGAAGCATTATAAAGCATTAATATGTTTTGTTTTTGATAATAGTGTCCTTTGCAACAAGAAACATCTGAACAGTTGGGTAGTCTGTGTTGTGTTGCTGGTCGACTGGAAATTATTAGTGCTACAGACAGGGGGGGTTATTGTCCTGGCGAACTGATTAATGCCTCGTTGTATATCACAAACAATTCCAGTCAAGATCTTCCTGGTATTGAGCTATCTTTGCATCAAACAACAACATTTATTGCTTCTACAGGTAMTTGTTGGAAAATTGCTGCACATTTCTCCAGTTTCTGATCTAAAATGCAGTCAGGAGAAGCAAGGTTTCTTTTGCTTTTTTCCATCTTCCATCATGTTTATATTGGAGAAGAAGGAATACAAGTTGTTGATGTTCAATCGATAACAAATGATGTTGTATTATTCAGGGAGAACAAGACAAACAAAGAATACTGTACAACAAGTACAACATGAAGGAGTACAACGTGGTAATGACGGCCATTTCCCATCAATCGCTGTTGCTATTCCAGCTGTACCACCCACCATGTCAAGCTGTAAATGCATTAAGATTAATTATGATCTTAAGGTGAGGTAGCTACCCAACAATAATTGATTTATTAATACTCTAGCATGTTGAATTTTGTAAGCAAAGAAGGTTTTTTTGGCCATTTAGAGTGCTCTCCAGAATCTGTGAATAAGTGGTATATTTAACTGTTAAACTACAGCAAGATATTTGTTGTTGTTTGTGCAGTGTACAATACATGGCGTTAATGACATTCTGTGGTTTCATTCTGGCCTCTCCTTATACCAGATACCAACATTGAATGCTATTAACATATCT